ACGGTGGGTGATCACATAACAAGTATTGGCACTTATATGCAGATTTCTTGTAATTAATAATATAGTATATATGTATAGTGGGACGCCTTATAACATACTGTTTTTGTCTAACGTGCTTTGTATATATACATGAATGCGTGTAAGTGTGTATTTTACATAAACATGCGAGCTATGTGATTTGACGTGTAAGTGTGTATTTTACGCACTGACATGAAAAATATAAATTTCGACCTATAGTTTGGACCATGCAATTTGCATACAAATATTTTGGTAATTACGAGTAAGATAGCCTAGGTTCACAAGTACTAGAGGTTATTTTAATCACACAAGCACTTAGGAAAATTAATTTTATCTTGGTGGTAATTAGACTTTAGGTAGGCATAAATCTTACCTCTAGAAGGCCGGGATACCTAAACAACTTTTAGAGTTGAAGACCCTTGGTTGCTAATTCCTAAATCAATTTTTGACCTGATGATGAGGCTAAAGTTTTTAATTATTTAGGGGAGGAAGGAGTGGTAACAGGGAGGTCATGCGAGGGGGGATAGTAGAATTAGGGCTATCCCAGGATATGTACATATATATATATATATATATATATATATATATATATATATATATATATATATATATATATATATATATATATATAATAGTGATGTGATTTGTATGGAATGATATTTCAGGGTTAGGATATGCTAAGGGCAAGCTTATAGGTGGGCGTAAGATTATTGTAGCTAGGGTGCATGTGTATGGCTTGAGGGTTAGGGATTTATTGTATATAATGTAACAATTTATATGAATTCGTATGAATAGGGGGAGGATGTTCTATAGGCTCGCAGGTTTATACACATATATATAGATTTAAGCGTATAGGGACGTACCGTACATGACGCAACCATTTTTTTTTTTAAGATTAGGCAAGGTGATTTAGGATTAGGGTGTGATGATGATGATGATGATGATGATGATGATGATGATGGTGGTGGTGGTGGTGGTGGTGATGGTGGTGGTGGTGATGATGATGATGATGATGATGATGATGATAGTGGTGATGGTGGTGATGGTGGTGATGGTGGTGATGGTGGTGATGATGATGATGATGATGATGATGATGATGATGATGATGATGATGATGATGATGATGATGATGATGATGATGATGATGATGATGATGATGATGATGGTGATGATGGTGGTGATGGTGATGATGGTGATGATGGTGGTGATGGTGGTGATGGTGGTGATGGTGGTGATGGTGGTGATGGTGGTGATGATGATGATGATGATGATGATGATGATGATGATGATGATGATGATGATGATGATGATGATGATGATGAAGATGATGATGATGATGATAATATATATATATATATATATGATAGGAGTTTTAGGGGAATATATCTAGAATAGTAGTGAGGTACCTATATATGTATAAATGTTTGTGGCATAATACCCCAGACCCTTATGTTTAGAATGCTCTATTTGGGATTAATTAATAGAATTGCTTTCTGTTAGTCCCGAAAGGGTGGCGAGAAGTCTAGAGGGGGGTGAATAGACTTCTCTAACTTTTTCAACTTGTTTTGCAAACAACACTTTGGTAACTTCAACTCTAAGTAACAAGCATAAACAAGTATAACAACTTAGAGTGTGCACAGCGGAAAATTTAACGGCAAAGTGTTATGCTTAAATTGTGTAGTGCTCAAAGAGAGATTCTATACATGCATCACGTTAGAAACACTTGATATAGATGTAGGATGATGTATGTAAAATTTCACTTGCATGCAAACGAGGGAACTATCAAACCCAGACAGATAAAGATACGCAATAAACCGTAACGGGTTAGTTCACAGATGATATAGGCATGCACGAAATTAAATGAGCAGTAAGTAAATAGAGAGAGAGATTTATAGTGGTTCAGAGATGGTGTAATCCTCCTAGTCCACTCTTCTCCTTTCACTCCAAGGAGGAAATTTACTATTCTTCGATCACCCAGATACAATAGTGAATAAGTGTTCAGCGACACTTCTCCGAGTGCTTCGCACAAAGCTACACTCCACCAAGGTTTTTCGCAAGCTCCTCTTGTTACTCCGCCTTCCCGAGTACTTCGCACCAAGCTGTACTCCTACACCACCACGCACCAAGCTACGCTCTTACCGGGTTTTCACAAGCTCCTCTTGTTACTCTACCCTTTACAACCGAGTGCTACGCACAAAGCTACACTCCAACTAGGTTTTTCACTCTCTCCAGTTACTCTAACCCTTTTCTACACTCTGTAGAAGATTTACAATAGAGATAAAAATTTTCTCTCACTCAAACTTGATTTTAATCGTGTATAGCTCAATATGTTGCTTCTTGGCTGATTTGAATGTTGCTTGCTTTTCTCTTGCTTGTATATCTTACTTTTTCAGCCGTCCTTGTCTTCAAGTCTGCTTGGGCAATTTATAGCCAATGAAAGCTATTTGCCCGTTGATCAACTTTCGATCTTGATCGTCCATTTTGAATTGTAGTTGATCAAATAATTTTGCCAACTTGGTCTGCAAAGTCATTTCGCCGTCTGTCAGAAGATTTTGAGTAATCTTGCCGTTGCTCTCCTTTAATCTGACAAAACTTTTCTTTGGAATGGGTAGCCTCGAAATTTGAATTTCTCTGGCATGACTTTTGATGAATTATTGATCTGATGTGCCAAGTTGATCAAATAATTTATCTGTTGATTCTTGCTTGAGTATTAAAAAGATTTCCTTCGTGTATCAGCTTCTTCTTCTCCTTCGACTTCCTTCGCAGAAACAGAGCTTCAAAAGAATGTTTTTGTCTAACTATAGCTTCTTTGATGATGTCATGTCCCAATAGTATATCATGAACTAATATCATGTTAGGCTACTATCATGATCTTAATATCATGTGTTCATAAAATTACTTAAGTGGGAGTCGAACTATAAATCATTTAATTTGCTTTGCAAAGCTTCTTCCATCTCGACTAGGTAACCAATTAATACATCTCAAGACTTAAATTCTTTTGTCTTATCTCTTCACGTGGGTTTCTCAAGCCATACCAAAAATGCTCTTAATAGGAATCAAACTATAAATCATCTCACATCAAGCATGCTTCAATAAGTCTTCTACCATCTCATCCATCTCAACCTTTGATGATTTGATGCTTCATAAATGTGTTAAGCTATGATCCCGCTTTCATTTATTCTTCCTTCAAAGCTGCTTTCACGTAGACTTCATGGTAGTGGTGCACTATACTTTGTGAACCAGAACTGACTCAAATAAAATAAAATTGGGGTCTACAAAATACATTTGGCTCATCAAAACTCATACAATATATTGCTAACACTTTCATATTATAAGATTGAAAAGTTTTAAAAATTTCGGGGTGTTACAATGGTTCCCCCAGGCAGAACAACAGGTGGAGGTCCACCCTGGGGTACACTATGGAGTTTGTTTGGGGATATGTTCCTCGTGATTCTTTTGACTCGATAATTGATGTTTTGACTTCTCGATGTTCTTTTGTTGGGCTATTTGAGTGTCTTCTTGATGTTTCGTTTGTCTAGAACGTATGGTAGGAATCCATGTAGGATTTGGTGTCTTGAATCGTGCTAAGTGTTCAACCTTGTGATTCGTTGAACCATGATGAGTCTTGTATGTTCTTCGGAACTATGTTTGGTTTACCTGTTTGATAAGCATGCTAGTTTGATGTTGAAATGCTAGCGTGTGTGGTTTGTTCTTTCCTATTGTGGATGATAACTTGTGTTGATCATCGTTGGTGTCGAATTGTAATCCTTTCTTGTTGAGTATGGTTTCTGTAATTTTGCATTTCCTCATTTTACGAAAATTATCAGAAATAGTTTGCTGACTTAGAATACTGATAGATTTAGTTAAGCACCTACTTAGTAATGATAGATCATGGAGCGAACATCAGAGAAAAATAAACAAACACACAGAACGAACACTCACAATGTTTACCCAGTTCGATACAGTGTGTATCTACGACTGGGGGACGATCACATAGGCGTCCAATCCACTAAGTCATAATCCAATGTACAAAGGTAGATATACAATAATCTTACCCAAGTGCCCCACACAAGGTACATACCCAGTCTACACAGGTTTAGTGGATTGTTGAAGATGGAGAGCCATGCATACAGAAGTCCAATGAAATCCCTTCACTTGGAGAGCCAGCTCTGATGCAGTCCACTTCAGTGACGCTCTATAATGTTGTTCCCACAACAGTGTGATCTTAGTGTCCTTTCGTTTAAGCAGCAGTAACTCTTCTCAAGTTTATCATCTTAATCACCATGAACAAGTTATATTGAGAAGGTGTATAATAATCAAAGATCTAGACTCATCAAGCTGATATGGAGTGTTTCTTCTTCTTATTTGGCGTAACCCTAGTTCCCTTAAAGAACTGGTACTTATAGATCCTTCTATAAACACTCTCCATAAAAGATCTTTGATTGTAGAAGGTAGGACTATAAAAGAGGAATGTAATCTCAGCAGGTTAGGTCCATTACCTTCTTTGAAGATACGCTGATCGTCTTTCCATACTGAGCTGATAATACCGCGTAAGACTCTTAAGGAAACAGCTTCACTAAATCAGATCTTCAGTGTCTGTTCTTCTGTCGTTGCTTCTGCTTGATCAGTAAACTGTAGACCCAACCGGACAGACTCTAAACCTATCTTAGTATGCCATAATAATATTGCCAATTATAATATGGGGTTTTTGAACATAAAAACACTAACAAACTCCCCCTTTGGCTATTATTTGGCAAAACAACTCAACTATTTAAAAAGAACTAAGATAGGTTATAAAAAGAAGCAACCCAAGTGTCCAAAACGATTACATAGGATAAAACGAACATAAGATCCAAAGAAGTCTAAAAACAAAAACAAACAATATCAAAACATAACGCCCAGCCAGGGCCAGAAGGTACTCGATCACAAAAAAACTCCCCCTGAGTTTACTACTCCCCCTTTTTGCCAATGGTAGCCAAAGATTAAGCATTTGAGGGAGAGCCACAGTCAGACTTCACAGGATCCTCAGCAGCAGCAGCAGTATCAGACAAGCTCATGCGGAGAAGAACAGTAGCTAGCTCAGTGCGCGCACCAGTCAGTTGCTTGGCAATGATGCCGTGCACCGTCTCAAGATCAGCAACTCGCGCCTTCAATTGTTCGGAAAGCTTCTGATCTTTAGCATGAGGAGACTCATCATTCACAGCATCAGGTTCCGAATTGGATGGGGCAGTCACAGGAACGACATCCTTAATATGATCTCCAGAGAGAAGACGTTTATCAACAGTATACAGCAGCGTCGGACTGATCACTTCGCTGGGCATAGGCTTAAGACCCTGAGAGGTAAGGATGCCAAAAATTAGATTTGGAAACGGTAGTCTTACCTTCTGTTCTCGGGGATGAATCAGAGTTAGAACATGATAAAAAATCCATTTGCCCATATCACACTGCATCTTAATTCCAATTCTAAATAGGAACCCTGCCAGAAGCTTGCCAACTGTGTTGAAATGAGCTGATGGAAGCCAGTTGTGCAAAGCCAGGCGATGTAGAATGACATATCTAGACGTGAGATGCGAGCTCAGCAAATAGTCCTTATCTCCTGTAGGCCAAGATGTAGTATGTCCACCGGTAAGAGTTTTGGCCACCACGTCCCATTCAGTAACAGCTTCTTCTTGCATTGTAGGCAAGCCATAGTATTTATTTATTACATCTGGCCCAAAATCATACCACTTCCCTCTAATGAAGATTTGCATCGGTCGTGGCCCTGTGAGACTGCCAATCTCATCACTGAGATTGCAATAGAACTCATATGTGAGCAGCTTGGAGTAAGGGCAAACATCTGTAACAGTTTTCAAAAGACCAACTTCATTCAGCAAGGGCAGAATATCACAAACGGAGTTCAGTTGATTTTCATCCACAGTTCTTTGAACAATCAGCTCCCTTCTGACCATAGTGGCCCATTTTGTTTTTGTAGTAGGTGATACAAACTGAGGTTTGTAAACAGTAGTATCAATTCCTTCAATAGGTGGAACCTCCGGAGTTACACTTCGACCTCTTGACCTTGTAGTAGGTTTCCCTTTTCTGGCAGAGGGGGCTGGTGCAGAAGTAGCTTGAGCAGCAGTGGTTCCTTGTTGCTTAACAGAGGAACGTAGAGTCTTGAAAACTTGGTGGATAGGAGGGTCTCCTTCAGGCTTAGCAATCTCACTCGATTTTCTCTTCTTCACGGGCTGATCCACATCAACATTATCAGCACTGGTTTCAACAACAACCTTGGTTGGAACATTCTTCCTTTTCGTCCGTCTTGTTTCTCTGGATGGGGACTGAACAGGAGTGACCGAGTGACTAGACTCAGAAACATTTGCAGATGAGCTCCCAACAATATTTGATATCTCTCGAATTCGGAAATTTGTGGAATCAGGATGAGCAGCTCCCTCAACAGTAGGGGCAGCAGAAGAAGGTGCTTGGGATCCATACACCTCAGCCAGTATCTTATCATCTTCACTGGAGGATTCGGAAGGTTGTATCACTCGATAAGGTTGAGGGATCGAAGCAGATGGTAACCCAGCAAAATGTCGCACATGTTCCAGGCTTTCTCCTAAAGATGTTGCAGTGTAAACAGGAACTCCACCTGTTTTCTCGGACTTGTGGGGACTTGATAAATCAACAGGTTTAACAGTTGTAGGTAAGGCAGGAGGAACAACAGCAGGACAAGACTCTTTAGAGACATTAACAGTTTCAGACGGAGGCAGAGTAATATTCTCAGAAGCATAAACAACCAGACTCAGTGGATTTGGCTCATCAGAAGACTTTGTTTTCTCATCAGACACACGCAACGCATCAGATTTTTCATCAGCAAAATTAGTCACAGGCAAAGATAGAAGATCAACATTCACAGGGGACTTCTCGGAACCCAAAGCAGATTGATTTTCAGGCAAAACAGACACAGATGATGGAATAGAAGAATCAACAGGTCTATCAGGAGAAATTTCAATAGGAGTTTCAGAATAATTTACCCGTTGTCAAAGAATTTCCTGTCTGTGTGTTGCTTCTCTCTGAACAGCTTCAAGATACAGAGCTTGGGACTCCTCTCGACGTCGGGCTTCTTCAACAGATTGTAGGGCACGTTGAGCAAAAAATTGAAGGAATGCCCCGGCCCGATTTCCATCGAAGGGTTCTGGAATAAACACTGGAGAGACGTCATCACTGGCTTCGGCGACAAAAACAAGAAGTTCAGTTACATCATCTGCCGATAGCAGACAAGCACGGGAAGTGGAGAGATGAGAGCTGAGGTGATTTCTTTCTTCTTGACCCGGTATCATATAGTCTTAAGGGTGATGAACCCTAATTAATGCGGCAAGTCAAAATATCATGCAGAAGTGATTGATGGACACAACGGTACAGCTCCATTTTAGGAAGGAAACGGAACCCAAGGGAATTTGAAATTCAAAAAGCATAGAGATCTTTTCAGATATCTTTTGAGACGAAAAAACTTAGTTGATCTTCTTAACAAAAAAAAAAAAGAGAAGAGTCTTTAAGGAAATTCAAAGTCATAACACTGACCTGTATTAAACCAACTCCTCTCTGACGGACCTACTGCTTTAGTCAGTCAATTCTGCAAATTCCTAGAGCAGATCTGAGAATTTCAAAACGATTAGCATCCAGTGGCTTAGTTAGAATGTCCGCCAGTTGTTTGTCAGTCTGAATGTATTCCAACTCAATTTCCTTGGATTCAACCAGGTCTCTGATGTAGTGATGCCTGATGTCAATATGCTTCATTCTGGAATGTTGAACAGGATTCTTGGAGATGTTAATAGCACTGACATTGTCACAAAAGAGTGTCATTGTTCCTTGTGTAAGACCATAATCCAGAAACATCTGTTTCATCCAAACCAACTGAGTACAGCAACCACCTGCGGCTATGTATTCTGCCTCTGCAGTGCTTAGTGAGATAGAGTTCTGTTTCTTACTTAACCAGGATACTAAGTTCTTCCCAACAAAGAAGCATCCTCCAGAAGTACTTTTCCGATCATCAACATTCCCTGCCCAATCAGCATCACAATATGCAACCAGATTCAGTTCACTGTCCTTGGAATACCAGAGTCCATACTGTATCGTTCCTTTCACGTATTTCAGAATGCGTTTTGCTGCTATCAGATGTGATTCCTTTGGGTCAGATTGATACCTTGCACAGATTCCAACACTGAACATTATGTCTGGTCGACTGGCTGTTAGATACAACAGACTGCCTATCAAGCTACGATAGACTGTGTTATCCACTGATATACCAGTTTCATCTTTCGATACGTTTGTAGAAGTGGAGATCAGTGTTCTGGATGGTTTACATGATTCCAGATCAAATTTTTTAACAAGATTCTTAGCATACTTTTCTTGTGAAATAAAGTATCCTTCAGAACTTTGCTTGACTTGTAGACCTAGGAAATACGTCAGTTGACCAACCATGGACATTTCAAATTCTTTCTCCATGACTTGTACTAATTCATCAGTGTATTTCTGCAAGGTTGATCCAAACACAATGTCATCAACATAAATTTGAGCGATGGTTACATGACTTCCTGTCGATTTGACAAACAGTGTTTTGTCAACACTTCCGCGTTTATATCCGTGCTGGAGCAAATACTGTGTCAGACGTTCATACCAGGCCCGTGGAGCTTGTTTAAGGCCATAGAGAGCTTTTCGAAGCTTATAGACATACGAAGGTCGTTCTGGATCTTCAAAACCTTTAGGTTGAGCCACATAGATATCTTCATGGAGATACCCATTTAGAAAGCTGTCTTGACATCCATCTGATATAATGTAAATCCCAAAATGAAAGCGACAGCCAGCAAGATTCTAATTGACTCAAGTCTAGCTACAGGAGCAAATGTCTCGTCATAGTCAACCCCTTCAATCTGTGTATAACCTTGAGCCACCAACCGAGCTTTGTTTCTGGCTATATTCCCTGCTTCATCAGTTTTATTTTTAAAGATCCACTTCGTTCCTATTACGTTGACACCATCAGGTCTTGGTACAAGGTTCCAGACATGATTCCGCTCAAACTGATGTAGCTCCTCCTGCATTGCATTGATCCACAGATCATCCTGTAGAGCTTCTTTGACATTTTTTGGTTCTATCTTTGAGGTATAGCAGTAAGACCCAGATATTTCTGTCAGATTATTTCTTATTCTGCTTCTGGTTTTCATTCCATCTGACAGATCTCCAATAATGTTATCTGATGGATGGTTTTTCTGAGTTCTGGTGGGTTTGTCTTTACCAACATCATTCATGAGATCTATCTCTTGTTCTGAACTTTCTTGATCTTCATCTGATGAATCTTGTGGTTTGAGCTGACTGTTGCTATTACTTGCATCTGAATCACGTAGAGGTGACTCTATCACTGTTGAGTCCACTGGTTCTTCTGGATTGTCATCGACAACCACATTTACTGACTCCATCACAGACTGAGTCCTCTTATTGTAGACTCTGTAGGCACGACTGTTCGGAGAGTATCCAAGAAAGATGCTTTCATCACTTTTGGGTTCAAACTTCCCTCTTTGTTCTCTGTCAGCCAGCACATAGCACTTTGTCCCAAACACATGAAAGTATTTCAGATTTGGCTTCTTTCCATTCCAGATCTCATATGGAGTTTTCGTCGTCCCTGGTCTAAGGTAGACCCTATTTATAGTATGACATGCTGTGTGTACAGCTTCAGCCCAGAAACGTTGTGGCATATGTGAGGCATGTAACATAACTCTAGCCATTTCCTGTAGCGTTCGGTTCTTTCTTTCCACCACTCCATTCTGTTGAGCAGTTCTAGGAGCTGAGAACTCATGTGAGATACCATGCTCAGAGCAGAAGTCTGAATATAGTGAGTTCTCAAATTCCTTTCCATGATCACTTCTCAATCTCTGAACTTTTATAATAGACTCATCTTTTTCCTTCTGAACTCTTATGCACAGAGTCTTGAAGGCCTTGAAGGCTTCTGTCTTTTCTTTCAGAAAGTAAACCCAGCTGTATCGGAGAGAAATCGTCTACACACACAAATATATATTTCTTTCCTCCAATGCTTTCAGTCTGTGTTGGCCCCATAAGATCTATATGAACTAGATCTAGACATTTCTCAGTGGTGATACCTCTTACAGCTTTGTGTGGAGTTCTGATTTGTTTCCCAATAGCACATGCGCCACAAATTTTCTCTGGATCAATTCTGATCTTCGGTACACCTTTTACTGCTTCAAGTTTTATCAACTTATCCATATCTCTGAAATTTATGTGACCCAGTCGTCTATGCCAGAGTTTTGATTCATCAGATTTCGATATGTGACAAGCAGTTTCATTTGTCAAAACATAACAGTTGTCTGAAGACCGAGTTCCTTCATGAAAAGTTGATTTGCTTTGTCACTCACTCTGCAGCAGTTACGATCGAAGCATACATTCCAATTTTGATCATATAACTGACTGATGCTAATAAGATTCGCTTTTAATCCACTGACTAGCAAGACTTCTTCTAACTGAGGTAAACCTGGAACATTTAGGACTCTTTTCCCAACGATTTTACCCTTTTGTCCATCTCCAAAAGTTACAGCTCCACTGCTAGGTTGAACAGCCATCAGACATTTAATGTTTCCTGTCATATGTCTGGAACAACCACTGTCGAAATACCATCTAGCATCAGTTGTAGATGCAGTTATAACAATGGTGGGATAACAGATAACTTCTGACTTTCTGACCCAAACCTGTCTAGTGAAAGGTGTAATAGTCTTATTCTGATATTTTTCCTTCCTTTGATCTCTGTAGAAAAAATAGCATTCGGGACGCGTATGACCTTTTGTGTGACAGTAGTGACAAATGGGAGTATAATATTTAACTTTGACAATCTTATTTTTGAATCTCGAATAATGAGATTTATAAGTTGATTTGTCCTGGTCAGTGTTCGTACCGTATCTCCCTTCCTTGATTTGTACTGACTGAGATGACTGTCCTTGTTCATACCTGTGATATGTTGTGGTCTTAGACATTCCCTCTTTGATGAACTTTGGTGCGTTGTTCGAAGATTCCCCTTACTCAAATCCCAGACCCTTTTTATTATTAGGGTTTCTGCCAGAGTCTAGAATTTTATCTAAGGTAGATGTGGTGTCCATCATCTGTATATTTTTCTTCAAGCTCTCCAACTCCTTGATTAATTTTCCTTCTCTGGACCGTATCTGAGTGATGAGATCTTCTTTTATGACCAATTCAGCATTCAGTTTCTTTATAAGATCATCTTTTTGCTTTAGATCGTCATTCAGATTTTTATTTACTTTCACAAGTTGTTCCCAGCTAGCGACAAGTTTTGCAAATTCTGCCTCAAGTTGAATATGTCTTTCTTCAAAATCATCTGTTGATATGTATGATTCTCCATCTGATTGATCTCCGTCTGATTGAATGTTTGTGGCAGTGAAGAACGCTACAAAGTTTCCTACATTATCATCTGATTGATCATTTGAATTTTCCTCCTCATCATCACTAAGAGTAGCTGCAGACATAGCCTTTTTCCTTTTAAGATATGTTGCACATTCAGCCTGTATGTGACCGTATCCTTCACATTCCCTACACTGCACTGACCGATTGAGGGGTTTTCCTGTGTCTGTAGTACTATTTCTGTTTTGTCTCGATCGCCCAGTCTGAGATTGATTGTTCTGTGAGAGGGCTGCTGTTTCAACCTTTTGATATGAAGGGTTGTTGCCTTTGTATTGTGTTCTTGTAGACTGACCTTGACCCTTTCTGTTGAACCCTTTTAAGATTTTCTTGAAGTTTTTGGTTAGGAGAGCTAGGGTTTCATCATCTATGTCGTCTGTGTCAGAATCTCGATCAGCTTCAGCCACAAAAGCTACAAACTTTCCTTTCTTGTTGCTTCCAACATCATCATCAACAAGAACTTCCAGTTCATATGTGTGCAAGCTTCCCATGAGTTCTCCGACAGTCTTCTTTTCCCAACCTGTGTGTTCCTGAATAGCCGTTACTTTCATTCGAAAAAGTTTAGGTAGGGATCTGAGAATCTTTTTGACCACTCTCTCATCAGTGAATGGTTCCCCAAGAATTGAGGCTCGATTCATCAAGTTCTGAACCCTACTGTGGAAGGTAGAAATGGTTTCGTCTTCAGTCATTCTGAGAGCTTCGAATTCTGATAGAACCATTTGCAACTTTGACTATTTGACATCACTG